TGATTTAGACCTGCCTTCTGGAAGGAAGACGCCTGTAAGGACTTCCCATCACTGAGAAGTGTGCACTCATGCAAGGAGGAGGCCGACCATTTACCCAGAGGTGAGTGATCTTTCTACTGTGAATGTCGTATTGCTCCAAAGCCCCTCTTACAGGCATTGGATGGCCTCTCCAATGTCCAGGCATTGTCTCGTAAGGCATTATATCATGTGTTAGGGGTCCGTTCATGATGAACTGATTGGTAAGCTTGGTCTTACAAAGCAGGAAGCTTACTCAATATGGCCATAAGTGCCCGGGTTGAAATGCCTAAATAACAATTAGGCTTCACTCACCTGGCTGGTGATTCGTGGAGCTCTCTGGGTCACCAAAAGACTTTGTTTGGTGAACTTGGGGAAATCTCCAAACTACATTTGCTGTGATGGAGAGGTCGAGACCCTGGGTCACACTTTTCATTGCAAGTTCGTAACGCAATTGTGCAAGTTTGTTGAAGGCCTCATGGTTTGCATACTGCACAGAAAGTTTTTTGTCCTTGAGGCCAGTTCTGTTTGTAGCAATGTGGCGCCACCATTGATGAAGGCTGAACACTATGTGTTATTTTGCTTGCTAGGGGTCATGAGAGTTGTGATTTGGATGACATGCCAGAAGGGATTCTATGGAGGCGAGAAGTCCACTTCTTCCCAACTGATCTTGTACTTTAAGTATCAGCTCAAAGTCAAGATTAGGATGGAAAAGCAGCAACTCTTCATCAGAATTTGGCAAAAGGTAGGTGAATCTTGTGCACTTGTGTCAAGCTAGAGGAGCTGACTCAGAGTGGCACTTTGATGCCGGTTAGGCATCAGGAGATTGTTTTCCCCTGTGTTGAACAGAAACTAACCCCGCCTGGATTAAGTTAGTTTAGGGTTGTTTTTGTCTCTTTAGTTTCTTCATTTCAGTTAACTTAGCTAGGGGATGCATGCTCATTGGTCCCCTTTTATTTCTGTCCTTATTTTTCTTTAGTTTAATTCCCCATCCTCTCCATTTTTAGGTGAACAGTGATGTCAGTTCTCTGGTGGATGTGGGGCGCCTTCCGTTTTGGGCGTGAATTTTGTATTTGTTGTTGTGTTTAAACGTGTGTGTTTTTTGAGTGAGTGGTTGGATTGATTGAATGTTTTTATATTAGCAAAGTCCCGCATTGATTTCATTCAGTTAACTGATGTTTCTGCCACACTTACGAATTGTGTGTGTGTGTGTGGGGGGGTTATTACTAACATTTAGTTTAGTTTCTTGTAAATACTTTTTGTTCATTTTGTAAATATTCATTGGGTTTAGATTTTTAAATTGTTATTTTATTCTGCTCCCACCAACAGACAATGAATTGTACATAAGGGGACTAGTTAGTATTTCCATTGAGACAATGAGGTATTATGGTGACTGTAGTAAGAAAGGTAAGTAAAGATGAGCTGTTGTGGTGTAAGGAATATTGTGGTATGTTTGGGTCAGTGTTTGTGGCTAGCTAAGTTTAATGTTAAGACAGAATAACACCATCCTTCTCCCCCTTTTTGTCCTTGCGCCACATTTTGTATTTTATTACAAATAAATATTATCCTCACCCATTTATCTTGTAAGTTAATGGCAGTGATCTTTTTCTTCAAACATTGTCCTTCTTCAAGCAGCGTTTGGAGTGGCTTAATAGACTGAATCTCGCATGACATTCTCTTCGACAGGTGTGACAGGTGAAGCTGGAATGGAGGTCTGACATTGCCCTCTGCACTTTCATTGTTCATTCTCTTATCTCCAAGAGTGGGTTTTGTTTTCCAAGCCTCCACCATGAACAGCATGGTACCAGCTGCTGCGATCATTTGCTAGCTGTACCCAGCTACCAGACTTGATGTCTGTGCATTTCAGGTCCTTCTGGCAAATGTCCTTGAAACGCAGTGTGGGGCAACACACCAGTTGGTGTCCCGTCACCAGCAGCCCAATCACAATATCATTTGGTATACAGCCATCATTCATATGGTGTACATGACTCAGCACTTTATTTTATTTTTTGTGTGTGTCTGTGTGTTTATAATTATTTATTTAAAAATATGATTCCAAATCGCTACATAAGAGGTCTCATGTTTCAAAACAAGAGCCGAAAACTTCAATATAATCCTTTATATTAAATTGAGTTGAAAAAAAATGGGCTCCGTTCCATCTTCAAGCTTAAATTTTGTTGAATAACGTATATCTGAAATTTACTTGTTTTAAAATTGAAATCAAAATCCCCATGGTAACAGCTTTGGTGAATTGTCTAAATTGGGTAGGCGAGAGTGTAGGGTGTTTATAATAAGTAGCGGTATAGAGATACTTTCAAGGTGTCAAGTCGGGAAAGGTGGGGGTGTCAAAATGAAACGGAAGATGTATTGGCCATCGTCTAGTTTGCTTGTCTATGGAGATTTATTTATTTATTTTATTTTATTATGAAAGGGAATTGTGCATATAAAAAAAGAGAAAAACTTTTGTAACGTTTGTTTTTTGATGACTTCATAAAGGGTTATCTTATATACAAGGTATTTAAACTACTAATTTAGGCTATGGATTATGAAGTGTGTTATGTTGTATGCATGTTTTTAGTTAATTATTCCTACTATGAAACTGATGATTGGGCTATTTGTTAAACAAGTTATATAAATTTTTTTTATCTAATAATTCAAACCAAAAATCTGATGATGCCTACAAAAAACCGTTAACTCGTGTCTATTATTTAATAGATTATTATTATTTAGAAGTTTAATAATGTGCAATTTTTCATGGAGGCACAAAGGGCATGGGTCATCCCAAGCTTTACATATTCTAGCCTTGTCAATAATTTTCCATTTAACTTTTGGTGTCTTATTTGTTTCCTTCAGGTGCCAAAAAATATTTTGATAGTGAAGTCTGATTTCGTTTGTTTATATTATTAAAGGAGCATTTTATGCTGCCTCCATCTATCTTTAAAATTATTCTTCGTGGACCCAATGTATATCATATTAGTGCTAGGGCTCTCTCTGGATGAAATATATATATATATATATATATATATAATGTTGTATCATGAAATGGATAAGTCGATACACATATAAAAGTAGCAGTAATTTATTCCGAAGAATAATATGGTACTAACAGCCAAAAACACAGGCTACTGGAATAGCAGTTAATCGTGAAACTTCACCTCAGATCTGTTCAACTTGGTAATTACCGAAGTCCTCCACGCAAAAGCAGGATGTGGCACAAGGCCATTTTTTAATGTGGGGCATCCAGAGCCCGTAGGCTTGGGCAAAATATATCCCATAGACCCTGTATACACAGGGTCGGGTTTGTCTACCCCCACAAATGAGACTCTGCCCATTGGCATGGACTTGTCTGGGTTCCTCCCTGCCCAAAGGCAGAGAGATAGACAAGTCAGACCCGAGCCTGGCAACGAACTACCTGCTCAGTTTTGTACAACTTCAGTATTTACCTGAAGCCTCCACACAAGGTGGGATGTGGCACAAGGCCGTTTTAACGCAAAGAATCCTGAGCATGCACGCTTGGGCAAAAATTTCTCCGTAGACCCCACATACATAGTGTCAGGTGGCTGTCTACCTCCTCAGACTAGACTCAGCCTTTCGGTATAGCTTCATCTGAGTCACTCTTTGCTTGGAAGCAGAGAGGTCGACAAGAAGTTCTGTTCAATTTCCACTCCCTCAGTAAGAGTGTGCTATTTATTTTTTTAGATCAGCCCATCTTGTGGGTGTGCTCCGGTACTCCACAATATATATATATATATATATATATAGTTTATGAAAAACTAGGTAATCCATATGGGTAAATAAGGAGGATAAAACCAGAGAGCTCAATGTAAATCCAGAGCAAATATATATATATATATATATATATATATATATATATATATAGAGAGAGAGAGACAGACAGACAGATATGCAATATTAAAGGTTGAAGCATTTTGTGATGTCAGCAAACACTCGTTGCTACTTTTGTAATGTCAACAAATACTCATTGTCACTTTCGCAATGCTCATTGTAGTAGAGACTTTGTAATCGCAGATATAACTATAGTAACGCGGTTGAACAATACCGGTGTCAGGTGCCTTCGAATAGCACTCACACTAATAGTACTGGCTCGATAATACTTGCTCGAATAGTGACCTGAATAGCAATCCGTATCACTTAGACGCCATGCTAATTCCCATATATACATTTTGTTTGCCATCATGCTAGAACAATTACAAATGAGTAGCGAGTTTGATCCTCACTGGGTGCTCCATACTTTCGGCCTTGTGCCACATCTAAGCTACACTTGGAAAATCACTATACATTTCCTTTACTACCATGTGATTTACTTATTAAAAATGGGATTGCCTGTGTTTGCTCTCTGATGATCTGTGTTCAAACTCCAGTGTCCGCAGTGACACTTTATTCCTATATAAGAAAGTGCCTCACATGAAAATTTTTTCCACTTTGTTATACTTCTTTCCTTTAAAATTGTTCTTAATATATAAAAATATAAATATGTTTTTCCGACAGGCTTTGACCTCTCGGCTACAGAGAGTGTCTATGGCTAAGCAAAATCTGAAGAGTACTTTAAACACTAATTTCTCTCTGACTTTCAAAATAGACATATCTGCTCAATTTCAAGTCCTAGCATAAACAGAACAATTTGTAAAGAAAGGGATGGATTTTTATTTATTAATCGAACAGATTTTTATCACTGAAACATCATTTTTAGTGGATACTTGTATCTGAGTTGACTCTCCGTTTATTTAGTAGACATTATATTTATTTATGTCTACACACATAAATACTGCTTGGTCATCAACAACTCTGTAACTGAAACATCAAAGCACATTAGATCTAATGATGGTTTTCCCATAGTGAACGCAGACAGGTTCTAATCCTGCTGGAGATTGCATATTTTTCTCCAATAATATATATAGGTGTATATATATATATATATATATATATATATATATAGTGTGTGTGTGTGTATATAGAGAGAGAACAAGAGAGAGAAAAAACAAGAAAGACAGTGAGAGAACGAGAGAGAGAGAAATTGAGAAAGATAATCAGAGAGAGAAGAGAAAGATAATTGAGAAAGAAATTGAGAAAGATAAGAGAGAGAGAAATTGAGAAAGATAACAGAGAGAGAAATTGAGAAATTAAGAAAGAGAAATTGAGAAAGAGAGAGAGAGAGAAATTGAGAAAGATAAGAGAGAGAAAGAGAGAGAAATTGAGAGAGAAATTGAGAAAGAGAGAGAGAGAAATTGAGAAAGATAACGAGAGAGAGAAATTGAGAAAGATAACGAGAGAGAGAAATTGAGAAAGATAACGAGAGAGAGAAATTGAGAAAGATAACGAGAGAGAGAAATTGAGAAAGATAACGAGAGAGAGAAATTGAGAAAGAAAGATAAAGAGAGAGAGAGAAATTGAGAAAGATAACGAGAGAGAGAAATTGAGAAAGATAACGAGAGAGAGAAATTGAGAAAGATAACGAGAGAGAGAAATTGAGAAAGATAACGAGAGAGAGAAAGAAAACTAGAGAGAAAGAGAAAGATAAGAGAGAGAAATTGAGAAAGATAACGAGAGAGAGAAATTGAGAAAGATAACGAGAGAGAGAAATTGAGAAAGATAACGAGAGAGAGAAATTGAGAAAGATAACGAGAGAGAGAAATTGAGAAAGATAACGAGAGAGAGAAATTGAGAAAGATAACGAGAGAGAGAGAGAGAAATTGAGAAAGATAACGAGAGAGAGAGAGAGAAATTGAGAAAGATAACGAGAGAGAGAGAGAACAAGGGAATCAGCAGGCCCATTCCCATTTTCCAACCAATGGTGTTGTGTGTTTGCATTGCACCCATGCTATTGAGAAAGGACTAAATTCATTTGCCCACAGCTTAGGATTAAATAGTACCACATAGTGACCTCTGTTGTCTTGGACTATCAGCCAGTCTAAGAGGTACTTCCTTTGTAAATTTTATTTCAAATTCTAAATAGAACCCCCAACCACCATCACTTGCATTCATTTATTTTATCCCAACTTTACATGAAATAAAACGAAAATGGTCACTCCCTCATATACATTTCCTGAAACTCCATTTGGCACTGACAATCACAAAGAAACAATTTCACTTGACCTAATATCTTTTCAAATGTTCATCATTCATTTAGCACATTTGTGTGTGCATCTGTGGTCACCACTCTCTTTCACATGAAGGCATTCAAAGCAGAATAGTGTTGGCTTGTCAGTTCCTTTTTGAGGTTACCCCATCCTTCCTCTCAGAGGTGGATTTGTTTTTGAAGTTTACTTCCAGCCTTTGCCTAAAGAGGCAGGACCTATATAGCAGCATGTGGTTTGAATTCAGAGTTTCCTTTTCCTAGACTGGTTGCCACCCAAGGCTATAGGATCCAGTCTCACCTGCTACTTTACCCAGGGATGCTGACGTTACTCCATCCCTCCTCTCATAGGCGGATTTGTTTTTGAAATCACCTTCTTCTAACCTTTGCCTCAAGAGGCTGGACCTGCAAGGCAGCAGGATTCAGAATTTCCCTCTCCTTGACTAGTTGCCAAGCAAGGCTATACGACCCAGTCTATCCTACTTTTTTACCTATAGCTGGTGAGAGAAGAGATGGATTCATACCACTGCCAAGAGTATTAGGATGTAAGTGAATGTAAAGATCTTGACTGGAATTCAAACCTGGCTTTCCAATTCCTCAATCCGAGCTGCAATTCTCCACCGTTTTTTCTAAATTTCAGGCAATTTCTGTCTTTGGTTTTCAAGCCTTATCTATTGTTCTGTTCTACATTTTGGTGTGGGCATATTGCCAAGTGAACTTTTCGTTTTCATCTCTGATTTTAATCTTAGCATTAGAATTCTGGACATCTTACCTGACATTGTCTTTGGCATCGACGGTAGAAATGGAAGGAATGTCAGATACTACAGACAGGAGTTGGTCAGACTGACAGTCAGGCCCAGTGCCATTCTGGCTGTAGTCAAAGAGATCCGTATCTGGAAGAATATATAAATAGCAGATAAAAATCTACATGCAAAGAAAGACAATTATCTGGGCACATCAACAAGGGTCAAATATATAACATCACTTTCTTTTTAACAAAGTCTGTTTTTTATTTAAAAAAAAAAAAAAAAAAAGTGATAGTACACGTAGAACACAGCTTTTTATTAAAACTTTTGCTGCTATGGATAGTAAAAATGCAGAATAACACATAATCTATGATACGCACCACATCTCAATTTTCATAAGGTAGTCTTCATATGAAATACAAATTTTATTGCAACCTAATTAAGTACAATAATGGATCATATGCAATACAAGTAAACAACTCAACGAGAAAAATTGAAAATAAATACAATGCATTTAAATAAAAATTAAAGCCATGTCATAATATATACTTCCGTCTTACTTAAAAACCCAGGTTGTGTGTGTGTGTGTGTGTGTGTGTGTGCTTGTTTATATATGGATTTCCAGCATTTTTCAACTGATTTCAACAAAACTTCACAGGACTACGTAAAATTACCCGGCGGTGGATCTGACAGCGCCAAAAATTGGAAAAACACTATTGTTTTTGTACAAAATCAATTTGAAAGCATGGGTAAGGGCCATTTATGCAGATTTTTCGCAGTCTTTGGACAATGTTTTGTTACCGAGCCACCAAAATGAAGCAAATGGTCCACTTTCTGATAGCACTAACGCTTGGCTATCTACCAAGTACCAAATTATTTACATTATTCGGACTATTGTCCTCATCTTTGTCGCCATATTTATCACGTTTCGGCCATTGTACGCTCCGGCCATCTTCAAATGGTTGGAATGTCGAACTGAAGCCCTCATTTTGTTCACTGGGGTAGACTGTTCTAGTCTTTAATAAATCAACAATGTTTTGCAGCAATTTTAGAACATCAACTCAAGATTTCTCTTGTTAAAAAGTTGAATAAATTTAACACGTTCAACATTATAGATAAAAAAAATAAAGAATTTTATAAAGTGTTTTTTTTTTTTTTTAGACTTAGCTTGGGCAAAACAAATTCGCGGATTTGGATGAAGAAAAAAAGACGTCAAAATCTGCAAAAATTTTTCATCCTTTAATAGTTTGTTTTGTAATGTACAGAAACATAGGTAAGGCACTTCGACATGGTGTAATGGTTAGAAAGCTTGTCTTGTTAGATCAGTTACGACTGAGTGGTGAGTTTGATCCTTACTGGGTGTCCTATACTTTCGGCCTTGTGCCACATCTAAGCTGCGCTTAGAAAATCATTATATAAATGTAGGTAGAAAAAGGCAAATGTCAATAAGATAGTGAAGATCAAAAAGCACAGCCTGGGACCCCCAGTCAGGCTCCTCCCACCAGTCAGGGTAGTACACATCAGTGTTGCAAGTGGGTTAGCATTTTTGGATACTTATTTATGAACATCGAGTATTTGGATTTATGTCTGGATGACATGGGAACAGTCAAAAAAAGGAGGCCATATGCTTATTGGGATATAAACTCAACTCAACCCAGACCTCAAGTGGAACTCGTACACATGATCAATGACAATGGAAGGATATTCCCTCAGAGAAGCCCTTTGCATTTGAGGGCCTTTTGGGATTTAAACTCAACCCAGACCTCAAGTGAATCTCATACATATGATCCATCATGATGGAAGGATATTCCCTCAGGGAAGCCTCTTGCATTGAATATCTTTTGGGATTTAAACTCAACCCAGGCCTCAAACAATATGGGCAGAAGCTGCCTAGTCTTCACTTTCCAGCCTAGAGTCCAAAAGCATCTCCACATCCTTGTAAGTGACAACCTTTAAGGTTGGTATTACTCACCATAATCAGCAGAGCTATCAACTGACAGGAAGAAGAGAGAGAGAGAGTGTGTGGGCATTTTAAGTGTTGGGAGGAGTGAGGGTTTATAAATATTTTTTTTTTTTCAATTAGTAATATGTAGTAATTGGGAGGGGGGATCAGTTTATTACTTAATAACAACACAAAACAGATCCCTCACTTTATGTCCAAAAGAACATTATCAGCTTGCCCATGCAGTCAAAAATGTTCCAATTATAATTGTGGTATTTTGCTTTTTCTCAGTGTACGTTGTTTCAGCTCCCAGATCTATAAACATTGGGGAAAAGTCTGGCATCGTCATAAAGACACTGCCATCTGGCATCAGCAGTGTAAGGGAGATAACCAGTACAGCAAAAATTACAAATACACACGACACATGCACACACAAGTATACTTACCGATTTGACATTTCAGAGGCACCTGAATGGCAGATTGTAGTTGACTCCGCAGCAGTTGAATTTCATGCATAGCCCCTCCAGGCATGTCTTCTGGGCGGGGACATGCTTCAATGTCCCCTTTCGAGCCACCCTGCATGAACTTTGTTCGATCTGGTACAACAGTCAGCAGTGTTTTAGGGCTGAACTGTGAACGGTCGTCATTCGAAGGTTCCTTTGGCTCAGGTAGGTTAACACTGTCTGAAACGTTTGATAGGCATTTTGGTTTGGATGAATTATTCGAGACAGGACTCATGATCACTTGGGGTTTGGAACGATTCTTTTCCTCCATCTCAGCCCCATAGGGAACTGACCGAACAAGAGGAGGGTAAGACAAGCCAGGTCGTAAATTGGTCGGATATGTTGGTAGAAAGGGACTTTGCACAGACTGGCTAGAGTTACTGACAATTGTTTTGACTGTTTGTTTATTTCTACCATCAGCAGGATACCGGTGCTCTTGCGTTGCTAATGCAGGAACATTAGATTCATGTTTTAAGGGATAAGCTTGTTGATCCTTTTCATCAAGCTGTTGTTTGTCTTGGTCTGGCAAGCTATTAACAGAATCTGCGGGTGTTTTTCTATTTTGGAGCAAAGGCTGATCATCTTGATTTGGTACTTGTAGGAGTAACGAGAAAGCCTCTTTGTCGAGAGAGTCAATACCTTGAACAGGTAGTGACTGTCGGTCATGGAGAGTGTCTGTGACAGTTTTCTTGGATGAGAGAACTGAAATATTGTCAGTACACTGAACATTAGAAATCACAAGGGCAGAGATGTCGTTCTGGTTAGGTTTCGGATTCTCCTTGTCAAGGTCACTTTGTGAAGTAGTTTCTCCAAGAAGGTTGTCAAAATTCCCCAAATTTTCTAATGAAGAAGATAAATCCTGAGTTAGTAGAAAATTGGAGTCAATGCTAGCAAGATCTGACTGCTTGGTCTCGTCATTACCAGAAGAAAATTCCAGTCGTCTGACAGGGGAAAATATGACATCACCTTCTTCTTCATGGATTGAGAAACCGGGGCTTCCATTGAGAGCAGGTTGACTGTAAGCTTTCTTTGTATCCCTCCATGATTTCTGTTTGCTCCGTTTCGTTTCAAGGCTTGCCTGAGGGGCCGATTGAGTCTGGGGAGTGGATGGTGCTTCTTTCTCTTCAGTATTCTCTCCTTCATCCATTTTACATTAGCAGGAAGCAAACGGAATAAGTGAAGGTAAAATCTATTATGGATGTGATACGGATTGGTTTGTAAGAATCCTGTGGAAGAAAAAGAAAATTTGTAAAGAAAACAGAAAGAAAAATATTTTTGAATTATTATTATTATTAATTTTGCAACATTCTCATTCCAAGAAAATGTAAGGCTTGCACAAAATACTACAAATGGGGTGCATGTACCCTTAAGAGACTACTTAATGTGGGGTGCATTATCAACGGAACACAAAAGGAATGCTAAGGAGTTGCCACTGTGAACATGGAATGGTGGGTGAAGTCTGAGTTGGTAGGACTAAGGAATCTAACGCATTTGAACAGTTGCCATAGTAGTAATGGAGATAGGGTAGTGAGAGACTAGCAATGTTTCGTCTGTGGGTTACAATTAAAATGAAAGCTTGTTTTTTTAATGTCTAAACGAAACAAAATAAATAAAGATAGGTAAATAAATAGTTTTATATCTGTCTATATTTCTGAGATGAGGTATTATGTACACTATTTACATTATTCGGACTATTGTCCTCATCTTTGTTGCCATATTTATCACCCTTCAGTATCTGTCTATATTTCTGAGATCAGGTATTATGTACACTATTTACATTATTCGGACTATTGTCCTCATCTTTGTTGCCATAGTTATTACCCTTCAGTATCTGTCTATATTTCTGAGATGAAGTATTATGTACACTATTTACATTATTCGGACTATTATCTTGTTGCACCATATTTGTCCTGTCTATATTTCTGAGATCTTTTGTCCTCATCTTTGCCATATTTATTACAACGTTTCAGCCCTGGTACGCTCAATCTTTCTTCAGGTGGTTGGAATGTCTAACTGAATCCTTTATTTCGCTCACTGGTGTAGACTGTTCTAGTTCCATGTGCCATGTTTAATGGCTGTCAGTTATCAGTTATCTCCTGTTAATTCCTCTCTCCATGTTCTCCACTGCCTTAACTGGGTATTGAACTCACACTCCTAGTGTCCTGTCAATGGATCTAATCAACTCTATTATCCACTGTAACATGTGTCCTTGAGGACATCCATTAAACATGGCACATGGAACTAGAACAGTCTACTCCAATGATTGAAATAAAGGGTTCAGTTCAACATTCCAACCACCTGAAAAAGGCCGGAGCGTACAATAGCCAAAACCTTGTAATAAATATGGCGACAAAGATGAGGACAATAGTCTGAATAATGTAAATATTTTTTTAGTTTTAATAAAATCCAGGGACAGATTGCTTTATCACAAAGTGAGTAGTTTTACTACGATTGTTTCTTCTGGCTGAAAGGACTAAATAATTATTAAATTAGGTACCTCCACAGATTCGCTAAAAAAGAAAAAAAGCATACCATGATGAAAAAATGCCCCAAACTTAATAAAAACAGTCTTATCAAAATCTTTGCAGAAAGACCAAAAGATTTTTTGATTATTAATTAAATTATATTTTTGGATCCTTTTTAGACCGTTCGAAATTTTTTGGCATTTTCTTGCGTCAGCCGAGGAGGAGGGGGGGGTTAAAGTATATGAAAATTTTTGCGTCTTTTTTTTGCGGTGAAAAACACATTAATTTGGAAATTCTTGCAAAAATTCAATAATTGTCGGATTTTAATGAAATTTTAAATATTTAATTATTTTTAAAATCGTTTTGTGCATCACAAAAAAAAAAAAGTAAAAGAAAAAAGGACAATTTGTTAAAAACAAAGTTTTTTTTTATTCTTCAACCAGAGAGAAACAAACTTTTTTTGTGTAGTCTAAATTAATAGAATCAATAATGTTTCTGACAATACAATCGTAATAAACTTAAGAAAAATAAATTAAAAAGAAACTGCCCACTATTAATAACCAACAAATCTCATTTTTTAATGTTTTTATTTTTGTTTTTTTTAACTTTAAAAACAAGTTGCTTTTGTTATACACGCTGAGAAACTTTATGCTGGCAAAAGGAAAGGAAAAGAAATTATATAAAAAAAAAAAAAAAAACGAAAAACAGACTGACATTTCAACGTACAGAAACATTTTTTTTTTTTTTACTTTTAGATCGTGGGAAAATGCTGCAAGTTGTTGTTAAGTAAGCCAAACAATTAGGAATTTAAAGACTGACATTTCCCCTACAGGCAATTAAAAAAAACAACAAAAAAAAACCCCAAAAAAACAAAAAGTTAAGCCACAATCAATTTAACTAGAAATAATCCTAAATTAATTTGCAAGAATTAAGGCAAAAAAAAAAAGATGAAAATAACTAAAATAAAAATAAAATTTAAAAAAATAAAAATCAATTAAAAATGTGTAATTGTAAATGTAATGTGTAATAATCTGTTTTTTAAAAATCGTGGTTTATTTTTTTTACTATTTCAATGTCTATTCACACCATCATCAAATAAATACATTTCTTTGTTAATTTATTGAGAAAAGAAATATAAAAATAGTTAGGTTCTGTCAAGTAAAAAGATGATACTGAATTGATTGAAACACATATCGTAAAACAAGATCTGGTAAACAATTGCAACGAATTTGACAATATAATGATATTTTTAATCTGTTTTTATTTTTTTTTCAACCTTGGGTCATTTATTTTTGAACGCATAAAGAAATTCGTTTCGACATGTTTCTTTTAAATATTTTTAGCAATAGCGGAAGAAATAAATTACATTTTAAATGATTTTATTAATTTTTATTATTATGTAAAAAAAAAAATGTAAATAAACAACTCACGTTTCTTTTTGTTTTATGTCAAAAAAAAAAAAAAAAAAAAAGTTTATTTGACACTTCATCGTGTTTTGATTTTTTATCCCATCCCAAATTATTAGTAATAATCACATTTTTTAAAGAAACAGAAACTAATCCTCCCAAATTTTGTCGATGAAACATTTTGAATATTTTTAATAAAATATTGAGTTTAAAAACACTTCCTTGATTTTTAAGAAATGATTTTGATTGCCAAAACAAAACATTTTTTGAAGATTACATTTTTTTCTTTAAAACCTGTTGGTGTTAAGTGTAAGTGAGTGTAAAGAATGTGTTTCTGTTGTGTTAAAAGTCACTGTATGAAATGATTTATTTACTAATTACTTGTTTTGTTATTTTAAGAAGTATAGTATGCTGAATATTATAATGTACTTGTAAAATTTGTAAAACAGTTTTTCACGACTTTTTAAAAATATACTTTTTTTTTTTTTAAGTATTTTTTTTTTATACCAAGAAATTCTAAAACTGATATTTCAAAATTTCGCATAGAAACTTTTATTTTTACTGAACAAATTATTAATTTATAAAAAAAAAGTTTTACAAGTAAAGATAAGACAAGTGTGTAACACTGATTGCAATTGCCGTCTGGTTCGTAAAAAAAAAAATGATTTAGATTTTTCAATTTTTTTTTATTTTTGCAAAATAATTAAAAAAAATATTACAAAATTTTTAATCTTGTATTTTTTTGTTTCGCTTTTGTTTTTTGGGTTTTTTTTTAAAGGGATGGGTAAAAAAAATTACATTTTTAAATTTATTTTTGTTTTGAAAGCAACATTTTTTTTTGTAACAAACCGTAATTCTTAAGCGGGAATTGTAAATTTATAAATATATATCAGCTTATTTGTTTAACATTTCAAACTTTTTTTTATGGCCAAAAAAAAAAAAAAAAAAAAAAAACAAACTAGAAAATTGACATTTTTTATTTCAAATAAAAAATGCAAATATTTGTGAAAAAATGTAAACAAAAATATTTTTTAAAAAACGTTAAACTACTTTTTTTTTTTTTAAATCGACTTAGTCAAAAGAAAATACCAATTTTCTGCATGACTGACTTAAAGAATTTACACAATAAAAGATAAGGATTTTATAAGTATGTAAAAAAAAAAAACGAAATCTGAAAATAACTTTTATTAAGTACTTTTGATTACAAATAATAAAAAAATCTTCAGATCATGGTTAGGAATGTTTTTAAATTTAAATCACTAAAAATACGGCAAATAGCCAAAAAATAGAGGAAGAAATACAAATATTAAACAAGACTGAACTTGATTTTCAGAAATCAACAAACTTTTTTTTTACTTACAGAGTTTTCCTCGGTACCTCTTCTTGTTATAGTTTTTTTTTTCTTTCTTAACACCGACGAAGGCTAAACAAAGTTAAAAGCTGCTAGAAACATCTTTCAGGCGTCAATCCACCATTCCATCGTTCAATATTTTAAACACTTTTTTATCGCCAAGTAAAAAACGTTTCGTAAAGAACTGAACCATTAGTGATTCAAGCAAATCCAAGTAACGCGTTACAACCTCCAATCGGTGCATATAAAAAATAATCCTACTCGTAAAATTGGACCGGATATTACTATATATATATATATATATATATATATATATATATATATATATATATATATATATATATATATATATATATATATATATATATATATATATATATATATATATAATGTGCACTGAGAAGTAAGCATCAGTCGACTACCTAAAACGAGAATGCAAAATAAGACAGTTGTAATGGCCAGATTTTAGATAGAGACCAATACTATTTATATTAACGATATTTCCAACGTACAGGATTCAAGTAAACAGCAATAACTGCAAATTGTTAATTAACAAATATATATATTGAAATAACATACAAGAACAAACATGTAATAAATTGTGTTCAATGTATAGATTAAGGGAAAAAAGTTGTTCCCCTTAAACTGTAGATTGATTTGTAATTGATTGTTCGAAGAAAGTTCTCTTGAGAGAAAAATGTTCAGAAATCAATATTAAAGCAAAGTTTGCATGTTAAGAATAAATAACACAAGAATACAATTAATTAAAAATGTATTGTGTTATAGAATGGTTTGAATCAACAGAGTTCTGGTTGATTGTACTTGGCAAAAGTCACAGAGAGAAATGTAAGTTTATATTACGAAATTCTGTGTCTGTGTGTGCGTTGAGCAAGATCGTGGATTTGTGTTGACGGCTGGAATCTTACAGGATCTTATTGGCGACTTGCGAAAAGTCGCCCCTTTTAAGAAAAAATTGTAGGCTCCCACGGAATCGCGGGAAAACTTCATCTTGCATTAAAAATGTGTGATTGGTTAAAAATAAACCAATCACTACACTCGTACTAACCGAACAGGCAAGCAAGCTCAAAACCAAAGGATTCAAAGAAACGACTCCGATGGCTAAATTGTCCTATATAAAGGTAGTACAGTGTAACCTAGATATAAGAGACCCGGATATAAGAGAAACCCGGATATAAGAGAGATTTTCTCTGGTCCCAAATTAGAGCCTGTGTTAATGTATATAAAATAGACCAAACCCAGATATAAGAGAAACCCGGATATAAGAGACTTCTCCGGTCCCGACAACTCTCTTATATCCCGGTTACACTGTAGTGATTTATTAGCCAATCTCAGGCGAATAAAATCTGTGCGTGGAAAAACATAGAAACCGCTACACAGTGTTCCTGATGCACTTGGATAGAATACATTCTCCTGTACTTTTTGTACAATTCTCGAGCTGATCTCAAAAGTCATGTCCGTCATAGACATGCAGATAATTAGTTCGTGGCTATCCTCATACATCAAACTCGATAGGAGAGTCCATCATATATATATGTAACTCAGACTGTATGAGAAAAGCCTCGATTTGTCCAATATTACACCTGTTAAACAGGTCTACGTTAGATGTCCTATCTTGAAGGTTAACTCCACAGATTGCACGCAGACAGCTTTTATATATATATATATATATATATATATATATATATATATATACTGAACAATAAAAAATATTAAAATCTTCAGACACACTGGGTTGCCTTAACTGGGTATTGAACTCACACTCTTTGGGTCCTGTCACTGGATCTAACTAAAGCCTTTATCCGGTTAAGTCAGTGGAGAACTTAATTAGCATGAGATAACTGACAACTGACATCCATTAAACATGGCACGTGGAACTAGAACAGTCTTCCCCAGTGAGTGAAATAAAGAGTTCAGTTCGACATTCCAACCACCTGAAGAAAGCCGGAGCGTACAACGGCCGAAACGTTGTAATAAATATGGCGACAAAGATGAAGACAATAGTCGGAATAATGTAAAAAGCAACAGTAATATGGTAAAAAGTTCACAAACTAAGAATTTGGGGTTGACACACAAGATCAAGTTCAGACAAGCAAACGTAACGTTCTGACTACAAGAGAAGACAGATCGGGACTGGGTCAGATGAACCAGAGAACTAGCCTATTTTTTTTTTTTTTGGCTAGGAAGAAATCCCAGCATGCATTTGTGTGCTTCTGCCTATAAATTGGGGTGGGTAAGTGTTTTTCAGTCATTCCTATCATAGATGGGAACTAACAAGAATGAAACCTTTCAGTCTTAAAGATAGCATTCCTTCACCAGATCCTATGGACTGTCACTAACACATACACTTTTATCAGACTGGCACTGTCCACCGGTAAAATAAGGGCACGAGGGCGAACTTATCTTCGCATCAAGGACATCTGCAAAAGTGAAATGAGGGTGATGAACATGGACATCAAGAGGTGGGAAGATGACAATGATCGCTGACACTGAAGACATGATTTACCCCAACAGCTGAAACGATGAGAAGAAACGGAGAAAAGAGCTTGCCACCTGGGTGCAGTATGATCGAAGGAAAGAAAACTACGCAGTGACATGAGGGGGAGAGTTTCTTCACATTCATTGGTTGACTCAACCACTTGCAATTTGACATTTTAGCATTCCGCTATCACTTTTTCATCAATGTCGATTTTCGTGCAAAAAGCGGATCACAGCTTCATACATATTTCTTGTGTTCTTTCTCTTGTTTGCTTTTTGTTTGCTTACACATTCGTAAAGTAAAAAGTGTGCGGGTTGATTTACGCCGTCAATACCGCTACAACATCATCTATGTCAGGATATGGAAGTTGGACCTCTTCCAGAGGATTAAACTTTACTTCTTCCGTTCTGTTGTTGAATCTGGGACTCTGACATCATCAATAGTGAAAACACTTAAATGTTGCTTACACTAGAATACTCCGGGCTGCCCCTAACATCTTATGACATCAACACTCTTTACTTAGCAAAGTCCTTTCCATCCCGGAAACCATACAGAAACATAGATTAAGATTTGTAGGACATTTCTAGTGCCGTAAAGAAGAACTTGTTGCTTCCTGGCAACCAACTCAGGACAAAAGTAGCAGAGATTGACCAGTAAAAACTTTTGTCAAACAACTTCAATAGGATACAGAGTTTTTTTCATATTCTTCTATTGACTCTTACTCTTAGTCTTCTTGTGTTGATTTGTACACAGCCATACTTCGCCACCACCAGCAGGTGAGGGGTAAAGAACCGGGGGTATTTACGTATTGCTGTATTAGAAACACGTGTGTAACTCCTAGTAGAATATTAAAGGGTCCAACTACAAAAAAAATGGCCGGACTTGAATTAAATCTAATTGAAGATAAAGAAGACAAACAAACCGATATATATATATATATATATATATATATATATATATATATATATGTGTGTGTGTGTGTGTGTGTGTGTGTGTGTGTGTGTGTGTGTGTGTGTGTGAAAATATATAGAAAATAGTAAGGAACTGGTTAGGTAAATAATCCAAAGTCCCTTAGTATTTTAGTTATTATTTTAAAAATAGTGCTCGATACAAAGTACAGCATAAATATAATTATTTATTTAAAAATATGATTCAAATCGCGACATAAGTTTGGTCTCATGTTTCAAAACAAAATTTTTAAAAAACTTGAAGATGGAATAGAGCTTTTTTTAACTAAATTTAATTAAAATAATTATATTGAATCTTTCGGCTCTTGTTTTGAAACATAAGACCTCTTATGTCGCGATTTGGAATCATATTTTTAAATAAATAATTATATATATATATATATATATATATATATATATATATATATATATATAAACAAATATATGTTTTACAATGGACAATAACATTTTGTGTGTGTAAACATTGGTGTCTTTTTTGGTGAATGTTCGTACGTACGTGTATATAATATTCATGGCGTCTCCCACAAATGGGAAGACACGGATCTTCTAAGAGGGCTTACATTGTAGTCGCTGAAATGAAGAAATGAAAAAGGTTATTTACCTCACCACCCGCGAGGCAGGATGTGGCACAAGGCCTTTTTTAATACGGGGTAAAACCGAGCTCGTGTGCTCTGGCAAAAATTTCCCGTAGACCCCGTAAAAAACGGGGTCGGGTAGCTTACTATCTCCCCAGACGAGACTCTGCCCTTCGGCAGAGCCTCGTCTGGGTTCCTCTCTGCCCGAAGGCAGAGAGTTTCGACTAGTTTAGCTGGAGACGAATCTCCAATTAATTGTCGAAGTGAGACAAGACAAAAGGCATGAAGAAATGAAAAAGAGAACGAGGCGAGAAGTCGTCCAGTATTTATAGTATAGGGAGAATGACTCCTAGTGACAATTTGGGAAATAAGGAAGAGCTAACTCCGACAGAGGTATAACTTTTGGGGCGCAGATCTATGACCTCTCAAGGCTGACGAATGCCACACAAAAAGTACTGACCTATTTAATCATTCTAATAATAATATTTAGCAGAAAAAATATTAATTTATGTTGTGGCGGACTTCACCACATTAATTTAACTTTAGATTAGGAAACAAAACTGTCGTGAAAAAAGATAAGCAAAAGACATCGTTACACATAAAATATGTATTTAACAAGATGTACAATATCAAACAAAGCATGCATTTAAGTAAGAAAAGGTTGAATAAAACAAGAGTTGTATCTCTTTAACTATTATTTTGTATTTCAAAGTTCACTGGAAGAATGTTTATGAGAGTTTCTTATAATGACTGTTCTCAGAAGATTTTGCTGTGTAAGAAAAGATTATGTGAGTGTATAAGGAATGTACAGCATGTGAATGGTGATGTGAGTGAGAAATTTGGTGCATGGTTTCAGTTGTCGTGGATTCGTTTGGCAGCTGAATTCTCATTAATTAGTTAAGAGAAATTCTTGCTTATATAAGTGACTATAGGCTCCAGATCGCTGCGCGGGAAAAGTTACTCTTAATGTACAGAAGATCTGATTGGTTGGCATTACCAATCAGCAAGCGATTTTTTAGGAGACTTAAGAAAACTTCAGTGATCCGTTACTCCCAAACTTTCCCAAAATTAACTACATGAAAATAGAGCGATTACAAAATTGTTGCATTGCTGAGATTTGTAAATTGTCTATTATAACATAGTGGTGATTGATTAACCAATGAATGCTTGGCGTTGTATGTGATTTGTATGTATGTATGTATGTATGTATGTGTGTGCGATATAGATCGGCACAATGTCATTAAATCAAAGCGTCAAATTTCTGATATATAATTCATTCTTTGCATGCGGAGATGACCTTGACTTCGAATCATTAAGGGGGCAGCTGGGGGGGGGGATAACTACTGAGTCCCATCTTCGCCCTGGAAAGTCTTTTGCAGTTGTGACATGGGATGCTGGGGGCTGAACCAGGACCGGGGGCGGAACCCTCTTGATCTTTCTTTTTCTGGTATCTCTGTTATTTGTCCCTGACTCTTTTCTCTTCAAAATCAGAAACTCCGGGCCTTACAAGGGAGCGCCAGACTGCACGGTTCTCAGAAGACCAGGTGGAATGAGGAATGCCACAATGTTTGAGTTGAGAGACTCCTTCAGCTTAATTTCATCTAGAGAAAGATTAACCGTGTAAATGTTCACTATTCACCGGTTTTTATCAAGAACGATAACTCTAGTCAGTACAGTCGCAGTTTCAGTCGATTTGCAGCCATGCCTATTTACAATTTATATATGTTTGATCGTAATGGGACGTGTTTGTATTATTCTGAATGGAACCGCAGAAAACATTCCAGTATGAGTAAGGAGGAGGTATGTGAAATTTATTTCCATAATAATCATATTTGGTAATATCAGCTTTGTCTTATTCCGAAATAAAATATCCTGAAAGAGCAAGGTCCGTCATTTGTTTTATTTTGTTTTCCTCCTCAAAGATTTGTCATTTTCTTTTACCTGTTTTTCGTTTTAAAATTAAACCGTAAATAATTAAAGTAATATTAATTAAATATTTGCATCACAACTTAATTAGGGAATCAAAATTTTGATTAATCTGCTCAGAAAAGAAAATAATTTTTCGAAAAATTTAAAAAATTTAATTAATACAATTTATTTATCTTTCAAAAAGGAAACTTTTTACTTCAATGTCTTTTCTTAAACGTTGTCGTTATGTTTTCAAAATATATTCTTTGTGTTGTAATTCAATATTCTTCAAAGATTTCTATATTTTTTATATAAATTATTATTTTACATTTTTAAGTACCTCTGTAGTGTAAAGCGACCTTTAGATAAGAAGACGAAATAAAAAAATATAGCAAATTTTGATAAATTTATCCTATACCTGTAAAAAAGATGACTGTATTGATTGATTATGACGTTATTGGAAATGTTGTTACTTACTGTATCCTTAGAAATTCAAAAGGGAAACCATTGTTTTGTTTATATTTCATCACATGATCTCTTACGAATTCTTCTTCTTTTCCTATATATAAGCAGTTACAAACAGCCTGGTGTACTAATGGCCATTTACTTATACTTCCTCACCAATCACAAATACTGCTAATCACAGTACATTCCATTGCTGTGTATACAATCATAACTCGATGTTTACATTTCCTCAGCTGAGCTTGCATGGATACAAGTTGATTTCATTGGTATGGAATTATTCTTCAAATAGGCAATTTATTATGAAGTTATGCCAATTAAGGTAGAAATGGTTTTATTACTTTATTATCAATTTATTCGATAATGTGGACCACGTACATTAAGTGGTTATCGCACAGAGGCCAAGGTTAGCCTACCAACAAACATTACTCAGAGTTAAAGGTTTTTTTTTAGAATTGTTCTGACGTCATAGGTTCCCAAGTAGGCATCTATGCAGACGACACTACTATTTACTCCTGCCTCAAAAACAAATCTAGTGTCGCTAACAAAACTAACATGGCTGTTTGTCTCGAAAAGGACCTCCAATCGGTTGTGAACTGGGGTAGGAATTGGTTGGTTAACTTTAATGTCTCAAAAACAAAACTGCTCTCTATTACTCACCACAGAGAACCATCCCTGCCCCCCCATTAGAATGTCTGACGCTCAAGTCCACGAGAGCACCTGTTTACGACTGCTCGGTCTCACATTGTCTGCTGACCTGAGATGAAACAATTACATTGAGTCAATAGCTTCGTCCACCACAAGGAAAGTTGGCTCCCTGTGCCGTGCCATGAAATTTTTCTCACTGGAGTCGATCCTTCAAATCTACAAATCAACCATTTGCCCTTCCATGGAGTATTGCTGCCATATATGGTTT